ATATCACAAAAACTTTAAATAATATATAAACAACTTCTACAGTTTGAGAGTCAAATCCAACTTCTTCTCCGAATACATTCCACTGCCACCAACATCATCAATCTCCATGCGCGCATTTCCACCGACAGTGTTGACAAGGCTCAGTTCCTTTGGCGGCAGAAAGTTCATCACAACAACGGCAGGCTGGCAAAAATAGTTTTTGTTATTATAAATATTATTATTAACACTGGAAGAAGCAGCAGAAGCATTGAATTGCAAAACGCCATTGTGGGGGATTTTTGGTGAGGCATTAATGTTGAGGAATTGGAACTTGAAGACTTGTTTTGGGCCGGATGGTTGGGCTGCAGCTTCCTTGATGTTCATGGACTTGATGTATGCCCGCTTGCGGTACCCAATGGGGTCCTTGATATAGAGACGCCTCTCCTCCATACGCTCGTGCTTGTGGGCGTTCTGGTGGCCGCCCATTGCCTGAGCAGAAGGGAATTTCTTGAAGCAAAAGGAGCAAGTGAATTCCCAGGCATTGGCCATTTTTGTCAGCTCCATCAATATCTCCTTTCTTTCCAGATCCTCACTCATCTCCTCATACCCAACTTTGCGTTTTCTTGCCATGCAGATGCTTTTTTTGGAATGATGAGGAGAATACGAATGAGCTAGGTGGTTGAGAATCAGGTTGGGTTTTATAGCAAAAAGAAGAAAAACAATAATACTAATAATAATAATATACTTAATTAATGGCGATCCAATGCCATGACGAAAATGCGGTTTGCTTTTCGGGTGGAAACCTTTGTTACAGTAATGTGTTGTATGACAAAAATCTTGCTTTCTTTTCAATTTATCTAATGTATATACTTTTTATTAATTTCTTTCCCAAGAAGAGGAAAAACGCGGAATGAAACAAAAAGTCGAAATCGCTTTTGACGGAAATTAATTTCCTCTTCAATGAATGGAGATGATATTTAAAATTTTGGCATGCGGGTGTGGGTTTTGTGAATCCAAAGAGCAAGTGGAGCCCACATTCTTTTTTGTTCCGCTCGGTCGGATGAATGATGCGTGCATGCGGTTGGAATGAATGTGGGCCGACGATATAGGCATGTAATCTTGTCACTAGTAGAATGCCAAAGTGTGGCAAATATTAGAATAAGAAATTCAAATCCGAGATACGTAGGTTGGTGAGTTTACTAAAAGCTAAAGCTTTTCTTGCTCCCTTTTGACATAATGTGGAGTGAGTCCAAATTGTGGATTGAATCAACACTTGCAGCAATTGCCTCACTTTCAGTTATGTCAAATGCTTTTTTGTGGGGGTGATGGCAAAATGCTCTGATCCTAATAAATGTTTTGGGTCTTCAGGATATGGTTTTAGTGATCAAGTTTACCTTTGCAAATGAGAGAACTTTTTGGAATCTGTTATAAACTGCAAATTGAGTATGTGTGTGATTTGATGAATCTTGATCGATTATATGGAATAGCAATTGTTGATGTCTAAAATGTGACAACAATAATTCGAACCATATACTAGGATGTCTGCACGAATAGAATTTTGTAATAATACTGGTACGAATGGATAATCTATCCCTGACTTCGTGGAATAGAATAATGAGCCCGGGAAACCGGTCTAGGAAACTCGAGAAAACCCCTCGAGGTTAAACCTAGATCATATCGTCCGAAAACCTCGTTTGGAAAAAAGAAACTCACGAAAATGAGTTGAAAGGATTAAGCTCCTATTGGCTCGGTTAGTCTTCTTGATAACCCGGGTCAATGAGTACGGGAAACCAGCTTAGGGGACTCGGGGACAAACTCCAAGGATAAACCTAATCATTGGCCTAACGGCTCTCATTTGGAAAAATTAGCTCATTCGAAAAAAAAAACTTGAAAAAAGAAAGGGAGTTGGCTTATTGGTTTGGTGTTCATCATGTGTATATGTTTAGTGGACCAATTATAGTTTTGCATGTACATGTAGATGAGGGAGTTTGAATCGAGTAATCATAGGTAGAATAACTCGGGATGGATTTTTGTTTTGTATGGATTTGTTGTGTTATTATTGTTGCAGTTGTCCAATAAAATAAATTTAACAGTAGTATATTTTATGTATTTTTTACATTTATAATGTGTGTGTTAAAACATAAATACATATTTATTAATCAGCTCGACCAGAGTGGGGGACCAGATGATATAGGATATTATACCTGAAAGAATAAACCGGTCGAACGAGTCAAGCAAACCGAGTAGGCCGAATTGATCGGTCAGAGTCGAGCAAGGATCGTGGTCTAACACCACGAGAGCAGCACATGGAAACATCAGACGAGAAGAATGGGTTGGTCCCGAGTCCGTGGGAGATCTGGTCAAAGGATCGACATGTCGAGCAAGAAGTTATTGGATCGACCACTTCACAGATGGAGAACAGTTTAAAGGATCGACTAAGGTACAATCGAGCGTAAGAGCCTTCGTGGAAACACGTGGCACGATTATATTGATTTATGACGATAACCGTCTTTGACACACGCACACTGTCAGGCCGGGCAGCCAGCTCAGCTAACCAAAATGACACTTTCTGAATTCTGAGAATCAACGGGAGGGTGGAAGAGGGTGAAGGAGAGGGGGCAATAATGTAACTTCACTGCAATGTTGTTGCTTTGTCTCCGGCACTAGGAAAGCATCAGTTCAGCCGTAGACACCCATCAAATGTACAATGAACTAACGTCGTCATCAACACGACGCAAGCTGCGCGATTAACCAGTAGCACAGTAAGTGGCTCTTACCATCCATCTCCCTATACTTCAGTCTACAAACAAACATCCATTGACATCCCAATCAAATCACTTTGAAAACCCTAGTGCAGATCAATGGCAGTTTCGGAAGAAGAATCTTCATCCGCTTCGTCTTCACGGCCGCACTTGAAGAATGACGCCGACGCTTTCTATTTGGCCAAGACAGTCCTCAGAGGCAGCGTCATTATTCAGGCTCTCTGCGGCCACTTCCGCTTCCCCACCTCTCAAGATGTTGTCCTCGGCAAGGTATATGTTTTAATATAAGCCCATCAATTGATGCTGGGTGGAGCCCATCTATTTGGTTTTGCTCGGACTACAAAATACCATTGTTTTGTTGCAGCATTAAGTGTCCCAGTGGATCATCATCTCCGTCGACCTCAATTTTATTTATGAGCTGAATTGCTTCAACTGATAAGAAATTATTTCAGATATTTCTTGAATATGTTTTCCTTCTATTTCGTGAAATGTGCTCTAATGCTGATATTGACACTGTTTATTCTGAACGCTGTATCATTTTGATTGATTGGACTTGGTATGCTGCTGATCAAGCAGTTTTGACTTGCAAAGTATTAATCTTCGAGAATTTGGTATGCTTTTGCTATATAACAATTGCCTCTCATAAATGGTTGAAATTGTTCCAGGAGACATCTATAGAACTGGTGATAATTGATGAAGATGGCATCGTTCAATCCATATCTGAACAGCCGGTGTTTGGTACGATCAAAGATCTTGCCGTACTTCCCTGGAATGAGAAGTATCAAGTCCAGAGCCCAAAGGTTTGTCTGCTCATTTATTTACTCTAACTCATTTGGGAGTTTTACCGAGGATTGCCTGATTCATTGCTGTCTAGATGCTGGGGAAGGATATGTTACTTGTCATTTCTGATTCCGGAAAGCTTTCGTTCTTAACGTTTTGCAATGAAATGCACAGGTTTGTTAAAGCAATATATTACTCTTGACATTGGTTCTGCTATTTTAGGTTCTTTTTTTCTTCTTTTTTTTTTTTCTTTTTTTTTTCAGTGAAATATATTGCTAAATGATGCTTGCTTGATTTGTATGTTTAGGTTCCTTGCGTTAAGCCATGTTCAAATTTCTGGTCCTGGGAACTCGAGGCATCAGGTTGGGAGGATGCTAGCCATTGATTCCAGGTAAGTTGCTTCTGATACATATTAGAGTTTCTGTGCATATTAGAGTTTCTGTGCAATAATCAACAATCTTTTAGCTACCACTCAGAGCTTGTGGAATGGCTATTCATGTAGGTTGTTTATTGCTTTCCTATCTACAGTGGCAGTTTTATTGCTGTTAGTGCGTATGAGGATCAGTTGGCTATTTTCTCACTTTCGATGTCCCAAAGCGGTGATTTCATTGATAAGGTTTGAACCACAGCTAGCACGTATTCCGCAGACTTCATTGTTGCACTTCTCCGAAAGCTATGCAAAATTTTTTTAGTTCTTTTGACACTTTCTGCAACTTTTTCTTTCATGTGTTGGCCTCAGAAAATCTTCTGTCCTTCTGAGAAAGATGGGCGCCTCAAAACTGCGAGAGGTACTACTAATATTTCTGGCACTATATGGAGCATGTGTTTCATATCACAAGATTATCATCAGCATAACAAGGCGTGCAAGCCTGTAGTTGCCATTCTTCTGAATAGGTACATTACCCATGTCTGCGTTTAGAATGGAAGTGCTCTCTGGCCTGATTAGCTCATAGTTCAAACTGATTTTCTTAGTTCTCCTTGATTGTATTTGACCTTTATAATTGTCTTAGTGAATGAACATGTTTCGTGTTTTACAGGTGGGGATCTTTTTATAGGAATGAGCTTCTGTTGTTGGAATGGAATATTGAGGAACAACATGTCCATGTGGTATATCAGTTTGCAGAAGCTGGACCTTTAGCATATCATATAGTTGAGGTCCCTCATTTACATGGATTTGCCTTTCTGTTTAGGGCTGGTGATATTGTCCTTATGGATTTTAGGAACGTTCACAGCCCTTCTTGTGTCTATAGGACAAGCTTAAATATCTCACTAATGGAGGACAAGAAAATTAGCAATATCATAAGAATACCTGATATTATGGACGAGGAAGGTATTTATAATGTTGCTGCCTCTGCTTTGCTGGAGCTTGGTGACATAAATAAAAGTGACGATCCAATGAATATTGATGATTATAGTAGCGTGCAACCTAGTCGCAATCATGTATGCTCATGGAGTTGGGAACCTAGTTCTGAACACGGTCCTAGGATAATATTTAGTATTGACTCTGGAGAGCTGTATGCTATTGAAGTGCTTTTTGAGTCTGATGGGCTCAGAGTAAATTTATCAGATTGTCTTTATAAAGGCCTACCATCCAATGCCCTGTTGTGGCTTGATGGTGGTTTTGTGGCAGCCATTGTTGACATGGCTGATGGAATGGTCTTAAAATTTGAAGAGGGATTTCTACAATATAAAAGCCCGATTCAGAACATTGCACCAGTCTTGGATATGTGCATTGTTGATTATCCTAATGAGAGACATGATCAAATGTTTGTCTGTTCTGGGATGGCATCCGAGGGATCCTTGCGGATTATTCGAAGTGGCATAAGTGTTGAAAAGTTGTTAAAAACTGCTCCAATTTATCAAGGTGTAACTGATACATGGACCATCAAAATGAAATTTTCCGATCCTTATCATTCTTTTCTTGTATTATCATTTGTTGAGGAAACCAGGGTTCTTTCTGTTGGCCTCTGCTTTTATGATGTAACTGAATCAGTTGGTTTTCAGCCTGATGTCTGTACATTGGCTTGTGGTATTGTGGCTGATGGCGTGCTTGTCCAAATTCACCATTGCGGAGTTAAACTTTGTTTGCCTGCTGGAACTAGTCATTCCAATGGCACTCCTTTGTCATCTCCAGTATGCACCTCATGGTTGCCTGATAATATGACCATAAGTCTTGGAGCTGTCGGCCATGACATGATAGTTGTGGCAACATCAAGTCCTTGCTTTTTATTCATCCTTGGCGTTAGATCTTCATTGGAATATAATTACGAAGTTTATCCGATGCACTGTGTAAAATTACAGAACGAGTTGTCGTGTATTTCCATACCTCGAAAGGACCTCGAACTGAATCGTGTTTTGATGGGTTATGCTGATGACAACAATGTAACATCATTTGCCTCTGGAAACGATTATGACTGTTTGTTCGTTATTGGTACTCATAAACCTTCGGTAGAAGTTGTATCCTTTACACGTGATAAGGGACTTCAAGTTCATGCCATAGGAATCATTTCATTAATGAACACCATGGGAACTACTATCAGTGGATGTGTCCCACAAGATGTAAGGCTTGTCTTAGTTGATCATTTGTATGTCCTGTCAGGACTGAGAAATGGAATGTTACTTAGGTTTGAGTGGCCTAGTGCTGCTAAATTATCTACATCCGGACCACCTGGTCGACAAACTGTTGCTAGTTCCAGCAAAGTGGACCTCCATGTGTTGTCAGATTCAGAATCTCCAAATAATAAGGTGTTCCTGTACAAAACATGTGGCAAGACTGAAAGAGAGTTACCTGTAAATCTTGAGCTTATTGCTGTACGCCGTATTGGTATTACACCCGTTTTCTTGGTACCAGTGAGTGATTCGCTTGATGCTAATGTGATTGCTCTCAGTGATAGGCCTTGGTTATTACAGAGTGCAAGGCACAGCCTCTCTTATACATCCATCTCCTTCCAGCCTTCAACTCATGCAACCCCTGTGTGTTCAGTTGAATGCCTCAGTGGAATTTTATTTGTTGCAGATAACTGCCTGCATTTGGTAATATTGGATCTATCTTTGATGTTTAGTGATGTTTTATTGGTTCCACTTGTGTGTTTTATTCTTGTTCAGATAACTGGTGTAAAATTTTTATTTATTTTATTTATTTTTATTACCAAAGAGGACTAGTGTTTTGTGTTAGTTACGATCATTAAGTGACTTCACATTTTATTGACAAATTGTATAAAATGACATTATTTTGCCTGAATGTTTGATGTAGGTGGAAATGGTGCCAAGTAAGAGACTTAATGTGCAGAAATTTCATCTTGGGGGCACTCCAAGGAAAGTTTTATATCATAATGAAAGCAGGTTGTTGCTTGTCATGAGGACGGAATTAGATAAAGATTCATGGTCGTCTGATGTTTGCTTTGTGGATCCTTTGAGTGGTGCTATCTTGTCATCTTTTAAATTTGAACCTGGGGAGACAGGTAAATGCATGGAGTTTGTAAAAGTTGGAAATGAGTACGTGCTAGTGATTGGAACTAGCCTATCTGCTGGACCAGCTATAATGCCTAGTGGAGAAGCTGAAAGGTCATAACTTGAATGCAGCCATAAATTTTCCTTCTTTTAGTTGTTGTATGTTTATCCCTAGTGTTTGAAGTTAACTGGTTGGTTTGCCTGGAATCTGGTTTGTTAGTTGGGGACTCTCCTGCATCAGTATCTTTTCATTTACACTTCTTATGGCGCGTGTTTTTTACAGTACTAAAGGCCGCCTGGTGGTTCTCTGCCTTGAGCACATGCAAAATTCAGACAGTGGTTCTGTTACCCTACGAAATTCACCTGGTGGTGGCTATGCTGCAGAGCAATTTTCTAACAGTAGTATCTGCAGCAGCCCAGATGATAATAATAGCTGTGATGGAATCAAACTTGAAGAAACCGAAGCTTGGCATTTTCGCTTAGCTTTTTCAACCCCCTGGCCAGGGATGGTCATTGCTGTCTGTCCTTATCTTGACCGTTATTTCTTAGCTTCTGCCGGTAATTCTGTAAGTCATAAAACATTTTTATGTCTGTTCACTGAAAAATGTGTGTTTCTCTTTTGCTTTACGTTGCTAAGTCATTTTATCTTTATTTGGAGCCTTTTTCATCCTAGCCTTCTGTATCTCCCATAATATGGTTTACTCTTGTGGAGCTTCTAA